GCTGGTCGTTTTGAACTGCTGGCTTCTGTCGTCCCACCTATAACGTGGTAGCGGCCCAACGCTTAACTACTACGCTCACCAGGGCTCCTTTAAAGGTAGGTTGGATTTTCTTTTTGTTCGTTTGAGATGAACTTGTAAGTTACTAAAGACTCTGAAGTCCATTTTAATTTTGTTTTGTTTTTTTGCCATTTTTTCCCTTTCTCCAAGCCACTTAATCCACTGTTTAGGTTTGAGGGAGAAGGTATCTGAAGGGCTTTAAAAATATATGCATTTTTTGGTTTTTAAAGAAGCGTTTTCTATATATGTATATATGTATTATACAGTCCATGTCATGAGATGAAATCAACAACAGTACCCTGTGGAACCTCCTTTTTTCTTACAGTAGAAGTATGGATTTTCTGAATGTGCTTTTGTATGTGGGTAATTCCCTATCTTTCCCATCCCAGCTTTCCACTCGGATGAAATTTACTGTATAGATTCGCGTATAAGCTGACCCGAATATCAGCCGAGGCACCTAATTGTACACGAGTATATATGGTAACTCTCCAAGTAGACCATTAAGGTTCCTTTTAGTTTGGGCCGTGGTTGGCATCGATGCCACTAGAAGGCCATTAAGATAGAATGTGCTGGCCTTTCCTGCCCCTTCCAGTAACGACCACACCCTCTAAAGTGCTGCTTTGTTTATTCTGTCTCCTCCCAGAACCCCGTCCTCTCCCTGTTCCCTCTGCCGGTTGTTGACACTGTATTAACAGCCTCTATACGCCGGTGCAGTTGAGCGCTCTCCATGAAGGACTTTCAGTTCTGTTCCGGAAAGGAGAAATTGAAAGGAGCAGTAGGTTCTTAGAAATCGGCTGCAGCCTGTGGCCTGAAAGAAAGTGTTGTCTTCACGAAAGGAAAAGGGGTGTGCTTTCCGCAGGCCTCTTCAGGATTTGTAGCAAAGGACACGCGCTGTGTTTTCTCAAATTCATTTCTTTTCTTGCAAATTGTAAGCATGACTTATTTTAGGATAAATTCAGATGAATTTTATGAGAGATGAAGCCCTGATGGGGTACTGGTTATGCATTGAGCTGCAAACCACAAGCAAGACCAGCGGTTCAAAACTACCAGCTGCTCCAAGGGAGAAAGAGGAGACGTTCTACTCGAGACTGAAGAGTTAGAGTCTCAGAAACCCACAGGTGAAGTTGGACTCTGTCCTATAGAGTCTTTGTGAATCAGAATCGACTGGGTGGCAGTGAGCTCAGTTTTGGTGTGATCACATCCATATAGAACCCTGGTGGTGAGCATTGGACGTAATAACAAGATCATCGATTCAAACCCACCTGCTGCTCCGAGGAAGAAAGAGGAGGCTGCCTGTTCCGTGAAGATCGACAGCCTCGGAAGAAAACCCTACGTAGGGCTGTGATGAGTCCGAATCCACTTGATGGCGTTGGGTGGGTGTTCACGTCCATGTAAACACTGCCGTGTTGAAATGGTTGGTTGTGTCACGGTTTTCTTTGGGATTGGCGCTTCAGTTCTGAGCACTCCTGTTGCAGAAGCTGTGAATAACAGGGAGAGCCCCAAATTAGAGTCCCCACTTGGCCAAAGCCTTCACTGTATTCCTTTTGACCATTCACCGGGCATCTTGCGTTAGAAAGTGGATTGTCTCCATCCTCTTGACCAGCCCAGGGAGGAGTGAGCTCCCTCCATGCCTTGCCTGGGTGTATCCTTGATGGAGACTGACCGCCATGCTGGGGCCTCACAGTCCTGACTCATGCCCTGGCTGCCTTGGTGGGAAGGAAGGTCCTGTACCAGCCTTTTGAGCTCTTCTCTCAGGTAGCATGTATGTTCTCCAATCGTGGTCTCCTTCCCTCTTCTGTCGTCCCACCTATACCTGTGATGTATCGCTGTGCCACCAACCATGGCATCAATTTTGTGACAGTTTCCTTTGCCTTCTCATGTCTTTTTAAAGCCCATGAGTCTCAGCAAACCCTCAGACACCAATATAACCTTGCACTAATGGTCTCTTTCATCCAGATGAGGTGTCTTTGTCTTGTCTTAGCCCTGTTTTTTAAGGTAACCTAAGGGAAACCTATCAAATGTTCTCCATAAATTATATTTGAAATTTGGGGTCTCCCGTACTTTATAGCACTACTATTCTTGATGTCTTTGTAATTTCGCAGTTACTAAGGGAGCCTTTCATGTTTTCAAAACAGCTATTTCTCTTTTCATTTGGACACTTTCCTGACTGTGTAGCCTACCTTAGTGCATACTAACCAGTCTGGCAGACTTAGCATCGATGAAACTTCTCATGGTCAGTTTCGTGACCTTGAGCTGGGCTTCCTCCTCCCCGTCTGAGTCGGGGAGGATCTCTGGCCCAGTGGGGGCCTGTCAGATCACCCCTAGACTGCGCCTTAGCTTCCCGACTGGTTACAATGCCATCGGTGCCTTCCCAGCTCAGCATCTCCTGTGCTTTGCCGCTGGCATGATCTTAAGAACCATTGTCTGAGTGCTTGGACAACATGGCCCTGCCCTGTTCAGGGACCAAAGCTTGCGGGGCTGTTGGGTGGGAGCATGAAGCCTAGAGGTGCTTAGGGTACTGGGGTACACCCTGAACCCTCTGCTCATTGACTCTGGGGGAGCTTTCATTTTTTAAGCCAAAAGTTCGCTGCCATCAAGTCTGTTGTGAGTCATAGTGACCCTACAGGACAGGGTAGAACTGGTCCTGTGGGTCCCAAGACTAAATCATCATGGGGGCAGACAGCCTCATCTTTCACTCTTGGATCAGTTGGTGGTTTCAAACTGTTGATCTTGTGGTTAGCAGCCCAATGTGTAACCACTACGGCACTACTTTGAACATCAAAAGTGGGAAGTAAGAAGCACAAGGAGTACTGCTTTCCCTTCAAAGCAAAAGCCCATGGGCCACAGCCATCCATGTGGTCGGGTGTCTTTGGGTGCGGTAGGACGTTCTCATGTGTGTATAGAGCTCATCAGAATTAAAGTGCTAATGAAGGAAGTGCCTCTGTTTTTGAATGTGGACGCTAGGAAGACTTGGCAATAGGCTTATGCTAAGCTGTGGGGAAGAGAATCTGGAACCCAGTTTCCCCATCTTTTGAGGATCCCAGACAGACAGAAGGGTGCAGTCCCTCTGCCTCTGCAGAGGGAGTGGTTTGCCCTGATTGAGTGTCGGGCCTGAGATGGAGGACTGAGAGCGCAGACACGGCCCGTGTACACTGTGCCCTTGCTGTGCCCTTGCTTGTCATTTCTCCCCAAGTTAGAGTGACTGTCCACCGTTTGCCCGCTGTGTTGAGGGAAGAGCACAAAGCATTGAGGAACAGGCCTGCCCGAGAGTCTTTAGGGATGAATTGCTTGGTGACTTCAACCAAGTGACCACTGACCAGTCAGTGTGGGCACCTTCTGTTTTTCTCCTATGGGAAGCAGTTCGCCTTACTGTCAGGCACGAGACTGGCCAATAGGGATTCTGATGTAAATAAGAACAATTCTTGCTCATGGATACATTACAGTCTTTAATGGGAGAGAGAGAGAGACACAGGATCAGATGCTTTCATGATAAGGTAGGGGATTGCCTTTAAAAAACTATTTAGGAGGTAAAATGAATAGGAGTCGGCAAGTCCTGGAATTTGCTGGTCAGGATGAACCCTAGGTTCCCAGTGTGAGTGACTTCTGGGAATGAAGTAAAACAACTCAATCAGAAATGCGGAATTAGAAGCCGACTTGCGGGAGAGGGGAGAGTCATTCTGTTTTCATTAGGTTGAATATGAGTAGGGAATGACCAGTTTGGGGACGACAGCCAAGTAGAAGCAGTCTAACAAGGTAGACAGGTGTTCAGCTTGGGAATCAGGCCACACAGGCTTGTAACTGTCCGTGCTTACTAACTGTAAGCCTTGGTGACATTTACCTAACCTCCTCAGGTCTGTTTCTCCATCAAAACTCACTGCCATCAAGTGGGTTCTGACTCCTAGCAACCCTATAGGACAGGGTAGAACTGTCCCTGTGGGTTTCTGAGACCGTAACTGTTTATGGGAGTAGAAAGCCTCATCTTTTTCCCACGGAGCAGGTGGTGGTTTTTAACTGCTGACCTTGTAGTTAGCACCCAGTGCATGAACGTTGTGTCACCAGGGAGAGTTAACTGCATTGGAATGGATTGGAAGGCATTGGGTGGACAGGAGGGTAGGGACGTAGCCTCAGTGTAGACTGTGGCAGTTCAGTTATCTAAATTCTCATCTTTTCAGGAGATCCAGGTTCAATTCCTGGCCCACGCCAGATCTGTGGAGACTTGCTTGGAGCTATCATGCTGACCAGGTTTCAGTGGAGTTCCCAGGCTTAGTCTAGGAAGAAAGGGCAGATCTGTTTCTGAAAATGAACCAACAAAGCTCAGGGATCACAATGTCTAGTCTACTAGCGATCGTGGGGATCGCTCAGGACCGCTGTGTGTGGGCTCGCCATGAGCAGGGCCTCTCGGCCTCCTGTGGTGGACCGTCTGCTGACTGGTGGGAGGGGGTTCTGTTTCTGTGGGTAGCCCCCGTGGTGTGCGGAGTTACTTGTTATGCTGCCAACAAGAAGTTCCTCATCTTGGTGTGGCCACGGGGGTGCAAACGCCAGTCCTCCTGTGCCCTGCAAAGCTTGTAGGAGGGCTGGGTGGGGCCGAGCTGGTCCACGGGTGGAGGGTGGAGGCCTGTCTGACCTCCGCCTCCTGGTAATCAGCCTCCGGCTGTTGATGCTGATTATGAGGTTAGAGGTCAGATGCCTCCTCTCCACCTTTATCCTTGTGCACACAGGTGCTGTTGTGACAGGCGTCTTTGGAACGTCTCGGTGTGTGTTTCATACATTTCCCAAAGAGACCTGTGAAACTTAATACCATAGGATATTCAGTAAGCTTCTATACCTTTGAGCAGGAGAGAGAACATTGAAGAGGGTGCATGTCAGTGCTGAGACACCAGGAAACAATAAAAAAGACCACTTCCTTTGAAATGAGAAATGAATGTCTTCTTTTCCCCTCTCAGGTTGAGCAAGTGAAGGTACTTGACCGGTTCAGCACCAACAATAAGTCCTTAACAGGCACGCTGTATCTGACGGCCACGCACCTGCTGTTTATTGACTCGCATCAGAAAGAAACGTGGGTAAGGAGACCCTGGCTGTGCTGTCTGGCATTGTAATCAGACAACGGGTGGAGATTCGGAGTTCCCGGGCACTGCCAGAACACAATGGCACCAGGGGGTTGCTTTCGGGAACAGAGATGTATTTCTGTGTGCCTTGCCTGTGTGGATTCATACCTTGATGGCAGCCTGGGCTGTTTCTTGGGGACCTCACATGGCCGCAGGCTTCTATTCTTTTTGTGGGGCAGCTGGCGGCTCAAAAAGGGATTAGATTTAGAGCCCGCCTTACTCATATATCATCTAATTAGCATAATAAATGAAGCCTGTTCTCAGGCAGGATTAGCTCCACAGGTATAAGGTGTAACATTCTAACACCTATTTTAGTTAGGGGGACAGGAGATGATGAACCAATTTAAATCCCTCACAGTTGGTAAGCCGGTAAATCACTTCTGCCTTCCTTCTGAATAAAACAGTGCTTTGTAGAAGCTGTAATTCTTCCACAGAATGCAAGTGTCTGCTTATCTCCATGAAAGAATCTAATTATCTCCCTAAATTATTCTAAATTACCTCTTTGTTTCTTTTACTTAAACATTTCAAATAAGTACACAGTAACAGTTCAAATAGCATATTCACGGTGTCTTAATTCCCAGTTGCAATTGATGCGGTTCCTGTGAGGTGCTTACGGTGTTGGGCGCGTTGCAGCTCACAGGGACCCTGTGGACAGAAGAATGCAACACTGCCTGGGCCTGCGCCAGCCGCACAGCTGTGCTCAGGTCTGAGTCTGTTGTTGCAGCCACTGTGCCAGTGCATGCTATCGAGGGTCTTCCCCTTCACTGACCCTGTTTTACCAAGCCTGATGTCCTCCTCCAGGGACTGCTGTCTGGAGCACGTGTCCAAAGTGCTTGAGAGGAGGTTTCATACATGTCCACTTCTGAGAGCATATTCTGACTGTTCCTGCCCCGACCGCGTCTGTTCTGCTGCAGACTGCAGTGTATTCAGTGTTCTTCACCAACACCGTCATCCAAAGGCACTGGCTCTTTGGTCTTCCTATTCATCCTCCGTCTTTTTCACATGCACATAAGGAACTGAAAATACTAAGGACTAGGTCAGGCACACCTTAATCAAATCAGTAATACCTTTGGTTTTTAACGTTTTAAAGAGGTCTTTTGCAGTGGATTTGCCAGTGCAATATATAGTTGGGTTTCTTGACTGCTGTTTCCGTGGACATTGAAGCTTTGTGTATATCAGTATTTTCTCCATGCCCCATGATATGGCTGATTGGCCCAGCTGTGAGACTGTTGTAGTTGAGGTGTAGTCCATGTTGAAAGGCTGTAGTCTTCGATCTTCATTAAGTAAGTGCTTCAAGTCCCCTTTGCTTTGAGTAAGTACAGTTGTATTCTATACACATTGCAGGTTATTAATGAGTTTTCCTTCGATCCTGAGGCTGCATTCTTCATGTAGTCTACTGTTTCAGATCATTTGGTCCCTATACAGGTGAAAAGATACAACCCGATGCACACCTTTGCTGATTTTTAAATCAGGCAACACCACCTTGGTCTGTTCAAATGATTGTTTCTTGGTCTATACATGGATTCCCCATAAGCACACTTCTCATTCTTCACAATGTTATCCATAATTTATTATGGCCCACACTGTCATATGCCTTTGCATAGTCAATGAAGCACAAATAAATATCTTTCTGGTATTTTGTTGTCAGTCAAGCTCCATCTGATGTCAGCATTGTTATTCAGTCATTCCATATTCTCTTCTGAATCCTGATTGATTTTCTGACAGGTTCCTATCCATGTATTACTGTTTTATTGTAGCTGTTGGATTATCTTCAGCAAAATTGTATTTGTATGTGATATTAATGATGTTAGTTAATAATTTCCACATTCTGTTGGGTCACCTTTATTTATTTTTTACATTTTTATTGGCACCTAATCCACATATCATATAATTCAATAGTCCCAATGTTCAATCATATCAAGAGTTGTATAATCATCTCCACAATTGATTTTAAAACATTTTCCCCCCATGAATCGCCTTTGGTCACTTTTCTTTTAATGGACATGGATATGGCTCTCTTCAAGTTGGTGGACCAGGTAGTTGTCTTCCAAAGTTCTTGACATAGGTGAGTGAGCACCTTCAGTGTTAGGTTCATTTGTGGAAACATTATGATTGGTTTTCTATCCGTTCCCAGTCTTCTCTTTTTCATAGTGCCTTTAGTGCAGCTCTGACTTCGTTAGTACTGTTAGTTCTTGATCATAAGCTGTCTCCACAAGTGATTGGACTCTGACCAATTCTTTTTGTGGTACAGAGACTCTGTGTATTCCCTCAGCCTGCTTTTGGTGCTTCCCCTGCCATCCTGCGGAATCCTTCAATATTGCAACTCCAGGGTTAGGGTTTTTTCTTCTGTTCTTTCAGCTTGAGAAATGCTGAGCATGGTCTTTGCTTTTGGCTCCTAACTCCAGATGTTTACACATTTCATTACAATACTTCGTCTTCTTGAGTGACTTTTTCAGCTCTTGTACTTCTTCTTCCTTCCCGTTCATTTCACCAATGGAAGAAGGTGTGTCAGGGTCTCTTTTGACACCCACTTTAGTCTTGTCTTTCTTTCCTGTCTTTTTAGCGACATTTTCCTTTCTTCAGGTGTAATAGCTTTAATGATCAGCTCCCAATTTCTCTGATCTTTGGCCATTCATGTCTCCTTGTGTCAAATGTTCTTGAGATAGCTTCTAAATTCAAATTTGATGTTCTCAAGCCTCTCCTCCTGGATTTGTTTAATTTTCTCCCAGCTTCAACTTCAACTTGCTGGGAGCCATTGTTTAATGTATTTGGGGCTGACTTGATCTCTTGCCACGATGGAGTCTTCTCATTCAAGAACTTGCCGTTGCTTCACATCTTTTGTTCCTCAGGAAAGTTTTCTATAAATATTGCTAATTAATAGGAATGATACTGAAGAGAGGGCGGATTATTTATTTTTTAGTAGAAAACAATATTACTGGTTGACTGAGAGTGATAATCATATTTTAAATACATCATGTATTGAGTTTATAGTGGGACTTTTTTTGTGGTTGTTTAAGCCATCCATTCAGCAAACATGGATTGAGCTGCTGTAGTGCTCCCGGTACTGTGTTAGGTTTGAAGCTGTTTGATGATCAGCATGGCTGTAGGCTTGGCCTTTATGACATGCCCAGAATCTAGCTGGAGAACAAGATATTGACCAGCCATCAAGCTACACTTGTGTTCAGTGCCATGAAGGAGCAGCGTAGGCTGATAGGGAGGCCCTGACTCACGTGGGCAGCGAGGGAAAGAGACCAGGCTGTACTACTGAGTGAGTCTCTGAGTTTTAAGCAGAGGGCGAAAATACGCCTGGGTAAGCCTGTGAAGAGGGCAAGGGACAGTGTCCTGGTTAACGGGAACCACTGTGACCCTATGCTACAGAGCTTGACATACTTGGGAAGCTGGAAGAAGGCTCTGGTGGCTACAAGTAGCCCTGGTGGGGTAGTGGTTATGTGTTGGACTGCTGACCACAAGGTCAACGGTTCTAAACCTCCAGCCACTCCATAGAAGTAGGAGAAAGAGGAGGTTTTCTGTTCCCATAGAGTTCCTGTCTGGGAAGCCCACAGGGACAGCTCTACCTGCCCTATAGGGTCTTTATGAGTCAGAATCAATACAGTGGAAGTGGGTTTGTTTTGGTTTGGTGGCTACAACACAACCAGTCGTGGGGAGGGAGCCTGGGAACGAGGCCAGAAAAGTCAGAAATAATGTTGCTGTGTAAAGCCTGGTGGCATTGTACTTGCGCAAGATCAGCTGTGTGAAATGACCGGCCGCCGCCTGGGAGAAAGACGGAGCTGCTTCTCCTGTAGAGAGTTACCATCTCGGAAACACACGGGGGGACAGCTCTACCCCGTCCTGTAGGTTCTCGATGGGCTGGCGTGTGAGTGCAGGTGTGCAAAGGGCCTTGGCCGCATTGGAGAGAATGGATTAGAGGGGTCGAGAGTAGATCAGCAGCAAGCAATCAGGAGGGCTGCTTAGTCGTTCAGATAAGACGCAGTGGGGACAGTACAACTTGGTAGGTGACAGCAGGGATGGAGAGAAGTGGACAGGTTCCCGAGATACTCAGGAGATAGGGACCATGCTTTGGGTTGGGACGACACTTGAGACCTTTCTGATGTGTGCACGCTGGAAGGCAGGCTGCACTGTGTCCTTCAGAGTGGTGACTTGGGCCTGCTTTTCCCACTGCAGATTCTACACCACCACATCGCCTCCGTGGAGAAGCTCTCGCTGACGACCTCCGGCTGCCCACTGGTGATTCAGTGCAAGAACTTCAGGATCGTGCACTTTGTCGTGCCCCGGGAGCGGGACTGCCATGACATTTACAACTCCCTGCTGCAGCTGTCAAAGCAAGGTACTCTTCTCAGAGACCAAAGTGGATGGGCTCAGCTTGAGGTCTCATTACTAGAATTCTAGGACTCCTGGTGGTGTAGTGGGTACACATTGGGCTGCCATCCTCAAGGTCAGCAGTTTGAAACCACTAGCTGCTCCTCTGGAGAAAGACGGGGCTGTCTACTCCTCTACAGAGTTACAGTCTTGGGTACCCACAGGGGAAGTTCTGCCCTGCCCTGTAGGGTCACTGTGAGTCGGCATTAACTGGAAGGCAGTGGGCTTGGTTTTGGTTTTGGTTAGGTTTTGGGGATTCTAGCCTTTAGATTACTCTCTGAGTCAGTTGCCTGTGCATTCTATACCTGAGAATATGACCTTGAACTAATGAGAAAGGGTTGATCTGAATTGGCTGGCTTTGGGGACAGTGTCCAAAGAAGGGGCAGTGAGAGACAGGAGGAGGTGGAGCATTTCCAGCACAGACCTCAGAAAAAGCAAACCCTTCCCGTGGCCGTCAAGTTTGTTCCCACGGGGGAACTGCTGCTCCAACTTGGGTTTCCAAGGCTGTAAATCTCAACAGGAGCAGATGCCTCATCTTTCTCCCGGAGAGCAACAGGTGGGTTCAAACTGCTGACCTTGTGGTTTGCATCCCAACATTTAACCTGCTTCACCACCAGGGCACCACAGACCTGAATTCAGAGCCCATGTGTTTACATTGCTGTGGTTTGCTTTGTCGGGTGGGCATGCCACAGCGCCAGGGTATCACTTGGACGTGGCATGAGTAAAGGAAGCATTCGGGAGGGTGGGGTGGGGGCTGATACACATGGGATCCTGTGGAACATGAGCAGAGGGACAGAAGTGAAACCCGTTTTTTCCAGTGGTGCTGACAGCATGCCCAGCTGAAAACGGGAAGGTTGGGAGATTGAGCCCCCCCAACCCCCTGCCAAGAGTGCCTCAGACAAAGGACTGGCTGTCTACAGGAGTAAAATTTACCCTGCATGCCCTATGGGGCACCCCTCTCATGGGACACAGGCAGGTCACCATGAATCAGGGTTGAGCAGGTGACAGCTGACCTAAGGGTTCCGAGCAGAGAGCTGACCGGCCTGAACGAGGACTCTGTCACTGCTCCGGCCCTGGAGACCCGGGGCCCTCCCGGGACCCCCCTCCCTTTCCTTCCGCATGCCAGGAATGACATCGCTCTCCTAGCAGACAGAGCAAACCGGCTGCTGGGTGTTACCTGAACTCCTTGTTTTGTGCAGCCAGCCTGCCAACCCGGCTCAGGAGCTGGTCCAGCCCCCTCCTCACACCTGGAGCATTCATCCCATTGGCTCCTGCAGTCAAGACCCATGCTCCTGGGAGGATGGCTCCATGACTTGATGGACCATGGATCCCCACGAAGAGCTCCTGGCTCTGTACACTCACTGCCGGTTTGGGTCAGCGCAGTCCCTTAGGACAGGGCATGGCATGGTCCATCTCTATGGACTGACCGGAAAGACGCAGCCCTCTCCCGCCCAACATCTCCTTTGGCAACAGTGGTGTGTGGGCAGTGCAGTGTCTACGTTTATACACGTTCTATTTTTAAGAGAAGGAACTCTTCCAGTAGAGAATCTCACACAGAAAGGTCCGACTTAGAAGTTTCATTTTTGTTATTGACAGAGCTGGGCAAGACTTCCCTTTCAGTGTGCATTGGCAAACTGGGCAGCGATTTGGCTCTGGAGGGTGAGGGCTGAGCTGTCTCTCGGAGGAGGGTAAAGCAGAATTGGAGTTCAGTCTGAGATCAGGCTTTCTCCGGCGTTGGCCTCGGTTGCCTTTCACTGTCTGTGCCTTTTGTGTCCCGCAGCAAAATATGAAGATCTCTACGCCTTCTCTTACAACCCCAAGCAAAATGAGGCCGAACGGCTGCGCGGGTGGCAGCTGCTGGACCTGGCCGAGGAGTACAAGAGAATGGGGGTGCCAAACGCCCACTGGCAGCTGTCTGATGCAAACCGAGACTACAAGGTAACAGGGTGACGCTGTGTGTGCTGGGTAGCCGGGCAGTGAGCCGGGCTGTGCGTCTGCGCATTATGCTTCCCACCGTGTTTGTACCACCAACATGGAAAGCTTTTGCCGGGGGTGGGGGTCTTCCACCCGGTGGTTGTGAGCAGGAAGCAGAGCGCCTGTGTTGTGTGTGCAGGTGTGTGAGACGTACCCCCGGGATCTGTACGTGCCGCGCATAGCCAGCAAGCCCACCATTGTCGGGAGCTCCAAATTCCGCAGCAAGGGCCGCTTCCCAGTGCTGTCCTACTACCACCAGGAGAAGGAGGTAGGGCACTTGTCTCGGGCTTGCATGGGGTATGATACCGTGGCCCCATCAGAAGGGCCGGCTTTTCTCTCAGTTACGACTTGAAGGTTCCAAACAGATCTACTCTGAGAGAGAAATGTGCATATTTTCTGACCACGTTCCCGCCTCCCTTCCTTCTTTCTAAAGTACTGCCTTGGAAATAGTGGGACTAGTGAGCAGGGAGGTCCTGGTTCCCCTCGCCTAAAGGAGCCCTGGTGGAGTTGTGGTTATGTGCTACGCTGTGACCCACAAGGTCAGCAGTTCAGAACCACCAGCCGCTCTGTGGAAGAAAGATGGCCTTTCTCTGCCTGTAGAGAGTCACAGTGTGGGAAACCCGCAGGGGCAGTTGGGCCCCATCCTGTCGGGTCTCTGAGCCAGCGTCCACCAGGTGGCAGTGGGTCTGGGATCTTGTTCGATTTCTCTGTGTAGCTTTCACTGGGAATGGAGTAAGAGAGTAAATCTTTCCCGAGTCTCAGCTCAGACGCTGAGCAGACGATGCCACTTCTAATTCTCAGTACTCTGGAACCAGTTTCTGACTTTTCTTCCTCTCTGGAAGCTGCACAGTCTCCCTGTCCCCCGGGTTGTGAACAGTCTCTGTGCTGAGGCTCTGCTTGGGGAAGTTGTTTCTCTACTTCTCTGCTCCTTCTGCTTTTATTCGTCTTTGCCATTTGGTTTGAGATGAACTTGTTTGTTACTAAAGACTCTAAGTCCA